TGCTCTTTTGGACTATCATAGCTGAAACTCCTTTCTCACATGCCAAACGTCTTATGGATTGAGTTGGATCTTTTCTAATTGATCTCTTTAGCCCTAAGTTGAAATTATGATCCCTCTTGCTGTTGTAACTTCCTGATTCAGTTCTCATTTATACTGTTCCCTGTTTTTTAACTTATTCACTGTTGTCTTGGTGGTTCTTGAATGGACTTTGAAGATAGAATCCAGAGTAGGAATGTTGGTACCATTACTGAAGGCCTGAATGATATTTACCCTTTCACCGTTACTTAATTAGTGGGGCTGACACAAAACGATTTTAACCTGTTCTTTTCTAGCTGAATATTTCAAAGGGTTTATCATTGATTCTTATGACAAATTGTGCCAAGATCCTTAAACGTCTTATCTAAAAACCTAGAAAAAAGAAATTCAATTAGTTTAGTTTTTTTTTTATATTAAAAATTTTTGTGGGATGGACAATTATGCTGTTACTTGGACAATTTTGCTGTTATATATATATATATATATATATATATATATATATATATATATATATATAATAATATATTATATGTGACATCAATTTGTTTTATATATATATATATAAATATATGCCCTATATGGATTTTTTATTAATTCAAATTGTATTCTTTGTAGAAATTTTTTTATATAAAATATTTATATATATTTTTTTTTTTAAAATTTATAAAAAGTCATTTTAAAAAGTTTGTTATTTTTATTGAAATATTTGTTCTGTCAAAATTTCTATATAATTTTCATCATCCTTTTTATTTTTTAGATTTATAAAATTTTCAAAAAGCCATGGAACAAACACCATAATTGTTATCAATCTTTCAATCTTAATTCTTGATGGCATTTTAAATCCATATATCTATTAATAGAATTATATTTCCTAGAATAAATGAAAAAAAAATTGTAATTTGGTCTTTTAAATATCATTATAAAAAATTTTTTTTATAAATTTCATTAATGGAAAAATATTTTGGAATTCGTTTTCATGAAAAATAAATATTCTTCCCAAATGTTTTATCTATCTAAATATCCCCAAATGAAAAGTTTGCTTTTTATTTGAATTTTAATTTTAAATTTTAACTTCATATTTGTTATTCAAAAACCCTTTTTTTTATATATTTTTTTTTTTTTTTTTACATTTTTTATATATATATATATATATATATAAAATTTATATTCTATTAAAATTAAATGAATATTTTAATTATCTAAATTTTCATATATATTAATTTTTTTTATTTATTTCATCATTTTCTTATATTCATATTGTATAAAAATAAAATAATTTTATTTCTCTAAAATTTTAAATAAATCAACATTTTACAAAATACTATCATCTTTAACTTCTTTTTATTTTATGAATATATAATTTATATATATATCTATATATATATATATTATGAAGATAAATTTTGTATAATTTTATATATATATATTTATATGTAAAAAAATATAATTTAAAATATAATTATATATATATATATATATATATATATATATATATATAAATTTTCCTTAATTTATATTTATATCATATATATATTAATATATATATATATTTTAAAATGGACAAATATTTAAAACGATTGGTTTTTTTATTGGATAATTTTTTTTGATAGGCTTGAAAATTTTTGATTAAAAATAAATTTTTAAAAGCAGAATAAACAATCATTTTTTTGTCTTTAAACAATCCCTTTAAATTTTTTCATTATATCAATTTTAAAAAAATATTGATTAAATTGTGGGGGGCATATTAAATAAATATATATATATAAAATTTAAAAACAAAAATAAAAAATGAAAAAAAAATTATGTTTTGCAAAATTTCTATATAAATGAAAAATAAGGAGGTTTTTAGATTTTTTCCTATATTTCATTTTTATTTATCTTTTTACATGTTTCAAACCAAACAAAAATTGAATAAATATTTATTTTTAAATAATTCAAGATATTTTGGTTGTGTTATTTTTGTTAAAAGTATCTAATATTTTTAATTGAATTGTCAGTAATTGATTTAATTTTTTTAAAATTAAAAAAATATATCCATCGTCAAATATATTTTTAAATCCATTTAAAATAAATATATAATTAATTTTTCAATAATTATATATATTCAATATATTTTCAATAGATTAAAATTTTTTTTTATGGATTCAAAAATTTTTTTGCTTTTAAAAAATGTATAAATAAATCGACTTAAAATTGTTTTTTTATAAGAAATTCTGTTTATATTTTCCATAATGATGATAAATTTTGATGATTTTTTATTTAGTAAATTTCATTTTCTTTTGCCTTTTTTTTTTTTTTTTTAATTTTTTTTTCCTTTTAATCCAAATTCATCGAAATTTGGATTTTGGGTTTTATTTTTTTTTATTTTTTTTTTTTTTTTCAAAATGATTCAAAAAAATCTTCCAAAAAATTTTAAAACAGATGAAAAAATTTGTTTTTTTCATGAATGGAACTATGTTTTTCACATTTTTTAAATTAGATGATATCATATATATTTTTCTTTTTATATTATATATATATATATATATTTATGTATATAAAACAAAGTTAATTTCTGAACAAAAATCATATGTTTAAAATTTGTAAAAAAAAACTTTGAAATTATTTTTTTTTATTTTTTTTTATAAAAAACGATTTATTTTTTTTGGTATTTTAGTTTTAATATTTTTTTTTTCATCAAATCCTTTTAATTAATTTTTCAAATTATTTAATATATATATATATATATTTATATATATATATATATATATATATATATATATATATTGAAAAAAAAAAAAAAATAAAAAAATTTAAAAAAAAAAATTTGAACTATTTTTTTTTTTAATTAGAAAAAATTTTTAATTTATTCCTTTAAGAAAAATCTGACTTTTAATTTTTTTTTCTTTTTTTTTTTTTTTTTCTTTTTTTTTTAAAAATAGAAATTTCATTTTTTTTTTATTTTTTTTTCCTTTATTGAATTTCAAAAATTCCAAATAATAAATTTCATTTTATTCAAAGACTTTCAAAAAAGATTAAAATCCAATTCATTTATCAATGGATAAAGATTTTTTTAAATTGTTTAACTTTGGAAAAATAAAATTTTTTAATTTATTTATAATCAATTTAAAATAATTAAATTTTTATTATTGTTTTCTTTGTTTCTTTTTTTTATTTTTTATTTATAAAAAATATATATATTTCATATTAATTGATTTTATATTTTTATTTCAAAAAAATAAAAAAATATAATTTTATCCAACAAAAATTTAAAAGATTATATAAAAAAAATATATATATATAAATAAAAAAAAAAATAAACAAATGAAACAAAAAAAGTCATAAAAAGAATCAAATAAGAAAGAAATTTTTTAAAAAAATAAATATTGAAAATTTTACATAATAATTCCTTTTATTTATTTACAAATGGGTTAATATATATATTCATATATATAAAATAATTATATATGTATATATAAATTTAATATTATATATATATATATATATATATTATAAAATATAAAAAAAAATTTTTAAACTTGAAAAATATTTTTAAAGAATTAAAAGAACATAAAAAAGAAAGAAATAAATATATATAAATAAATAAAATTATAAATTTATATATAAATAAATATAAAAAAAAAAAAAAATTTAGAAGTAAAAAAGATTAAAAAAAAAAATCAAGAAAAAAAAAAAAAAAAAAAAAAAAAAAAAAATTAAATTTTTCTTTCTTATTTATTTATTTTAAAATAAAAAAATTACCTTTTAAAATCAAATTTTAAAGAAAAATTTTATTTTTTTTTTTTTTTTTGATATTTAAGAAAGAAAAAGAAATTTTTCCAATAAAAAAATTTTAAATTAACTTTCTCTTTTGTTTTTTATTTTTTGAAATACTTTTTGTAAAAAAGAAAGAAAACAATAAAGAATTTATTTTTCATATAAAAAATATCTTAAAAGAAATTTTAGATATTTTATTTTCTTTTTTTTGAAAGAAGAATTTTTTCTTGAAAGAATGTTTCTCTTTTTCTCTCTATTTTTATAAATATCTTTATTAATATTCATAAAAAAAAAAACAAAATTAAAATAAGAAAACTATTTTTTCATAAAGAAACAAAACAAATTAAACAATGTCGCCATCCTTTTGTAAAAGGAAATTTTTATCTTCCCTAGTTTTTTAAAAATTCTTTACATAAAATATATTGAAATAAGAAAGAAAAAAAAAGAAAATTTTTAGCTAGAAATTTACTTATGTAAAAAAAACTTTGTCGAAAAAAAATCAAAAAATGAAAAGAATTTTATTTTTTTTTAAAGAAAGAAAAAATAATCAGATAAAGAATCAAAACAATCATGTTTAAATCATATCTTTCTTTAAACAATTTTCTTTTATTAAAGAAAGAAATCCATAAAATTTTTTTTTTTTTCTTTTTAATATCAAATTTTCTTTCGAAATTTTTTGTTTTCAATTTATTTTGAAAGTATTTTTTTTTTCCAATTCTCAATTTGAAAGAAACAAAAATATATTCCAAAAAGAAAATTTTCTTTAATGAAAAAAACGAAAAAAAGAAATTAAAAAATTTTCCTCCAAAAAAAAGAAAGAAAAAGAAAAAGAATTCATTTTCTAATGTTTTTGAAATAAAAAAAGAAAAAAATAAAAAAGAAAAAAAGAAAGAAAACAAGAAAGAAAGAAAAAATAAAGAAAGAAAGAAAAATAAAAAAAAATATTAAATAATGAAATAAAAAAGAAAACAGAAAGAAAAAAAAATTATTTCTCTTTCTTTTTTTTACATCTGTTTCATCTGTCAATTAAATGAAAATACAGAAAAAAAAGTTAAAAAAAAAAAAAAAAAATTTGGAACTTAGAAAGAAAATGAATGAATGAAAATTCGTTTTTCTTTTTCTTCCTTCCAATGAAATTTCTTTCCTTTTTTTTTTCTTTTGTTCTAAAAGCAGCATGAATCATCTTTCATTTAAAAGAAAAATATAGATTACGAATAAAATAAGAGAAAGAAAAAGGAAAGAATGATGTAATAATAAAACCAAAAATGGCATCGATAATTAAATACATGAATAGAAAGAAAGACAGAAAGATAAAAGAAAGAAAGAAAGAAAAAAAGAAAGAAAGAAAAAGAAAGAAAGACAATAATAAAAAAATCCTACAAAAAAATTAAAGAAAACGAAAGAAAGAAAGAAAGAATGAATGACAATTCGTTTTCTTTCTTTCTTTTTTCGTCCCCCATTCTTTTCTTCCTTTCTTTCTTTTTCTTTTGTTATATAGCAGTATTTCATCTCTCATTTAAATGAAAAATATAGATTATGATTAAAAAAAGAGAAAGAAAAAAGAAAAAAAGTTGTATGAAAAAAAGCAAAGAAAATGGCATCGATAATTAAATAAATAAGTAAATAGAAAAAAAAGAAAGAATGAAATGGGACTTGGAAAGAAAGAAAGAAAGAAAGAAAGAAAGAAAGAAAGAAAGAAAGAAAGAAAGAAATGGGACTTGGAAAGAAAGAAAGAAGGAAGGAAAGAAAGACAGAAAGAAAGAATGAAAGAAAGAAAGAAAGAACAAAGAAAGAAATGAGACTTGGAAAAAGAAAGAAAGAAAGAAAAAGAAAGAAAGAAAAGAAAGAAAGAAAGAAAGAAAGAAAATAACTTGGAAAGAAAGAAAGAAAGAAAAGAAAGAAAGAAAGAAAGAAAGAAAGAAAGAAATGGGACTTGGAAATAAAGAAAGAAAGAAGGAAGGAAAGAAGGAATGACAGAAAGAAAGAAAAAAGAAAGAAATGGGACTTGGAAAGAAAGAAAGAAAGAAAGAAAGAAAGAAAGAAAGAAAATAAGAAAAAAGAAAAGGAAGAAAGAAAAGAAAGAAAGAATGAAAGAAAGAAAGAAAAAAGTAAGAAATGAGACTTGGAAAGAAAGAAAGAAAGAAAGAAAAAAATGGGACTTGGAAAAAGAGAAAGAAAGAAAGAAAGAAAAAAAGAAAGAAATGAGACTTGGAAAGAAAGAAAGAAAGAAAGAAAGAAAGAAAGAAAGAAAGAAAGAAAGAAAGAAAGAAAGAAAAAGAAAGAAATGGGACTTGGAAAGAAAGAAAGAAAGAAGGAAGGAAAGAAAGACAGAAAGAAAGAATGAAAAAAAGAAAGAAAGAAAAAAAAAGAAAGAAATGAGACTTGGAAAGAAAGAAAGAAAGAAAGAAAGAAATATCTGAAGATAGAAAGACAAAAAAGAAAGAAAGAAAGAAATGAAAAAAAAAAGAAAGAAAGAAATTGAAAGAAAGAAAGAAAGAAAGAAAGAAAGGAAAACAGAAGAAAAAAGAAAGAAAAGAAAGAAAGAAAGAAAGACTGAAAGAAAGAAAAAGAAAGAAATGAGACTTGGAAAAACTGAAAGAAAGAAAGAAAGAAGAGAAAAGAAAGAAAGGAAGAAAGAAAGAAAGAAAGAAATGAATGAATGTAATTTGGAACAAAATAACAACGAAAGAAAGAAAGGAATGAATGGGAGTTGGAAATAAAAAATAATGAAAGAAAGAAGAAATAAGTTGGAAAGAAAGCAAACAATGAAAGAAAAAAAAGATAAAAGAAAGAAAGAAAATAGAGAAAAGAAAAAGAAAAAAAGAAAGAAAGAAAAGAAAGAAAAAAAGAAAGAAAGAAAAGAAAAGAAGAAAAAAGAATAAACAAAAAAGAATTTAAACAACCGGAATCAATTATGAAAAGAAAGGAAGAAAAGATAAAAGAGAAGATAATACTGAAAGACTCTCTCTTCGTCAGTGGAAAGAAAAGAAAAGAAAAATCAAAAGATCTTATACAACGGAAATAATTAAAAACCTTAAAGAACAGAAATGGTTGAATAAAGAAAGAATAAAAAACCGGGTTCAGATAAAAAGACAAAGAGGGAAACTTAGGCAATCATATGCAATAACAAAATACCAAATTGGTAAATAATTTTTCGCATATTATCACATCTTCTTATTACGTTTTATTCTTTTCTGTTATTAACAACAATATCCATATTGTCTTTCATTACAATCTTTCTTTATTATAACTTCTTTTATTGATATTAAAAAAGATGAAGACGAAACTTGGTTTGTAACTTGTCAAAAATCTCTTAGATTAAAAACCCGGCTACTATGAGACGGCAGATTCTTGTGAAAAAAAAATCAACAAAGAATATATAAAGAAAGAAAACAAAATAATGAATGCAATTTAGAACATGAAATTTTAATAAAAACTACAAAAGCAAGTATATCTAGATGAGTGAATTAGGATTCGTCATCGTTTGAAAAGTTCCTTTAAAAGTTTAATGACATTTAAGACATGATAAAAATAATAATAATAACAATAATAATAATAATAATAGTGATAACAATAAAGTATATTCATGGAAAGACTCTCTTTCTATTTAAAAATGGGAAAAATAGTTCAAAAATAATTTAAAAAAAAATTGTTTAAAAATTTAGCGATCACTTTATTCCCGATGTAACCTGATTTATTTAGTTTACACACACACACACACACACACACACACACACACACACACACACATACAATGTATTAAATAAATATATATATATAAATATATTAAAATATATGCCGTTGCCAATATTTATATATATATAAAATTAGTATATAATATATATATATATAAATATATATATAATATTATATAATATATATATATATATATATATATATATTAAACGATATAATATAATAATATATATATATATATATAATATATATATATAAATTCTTGAAGAATAGAATCCAGGTAAATCTCAAATATCCAAGAAAAATAAAATATAAATATAAAGGCCTTTAACACTAATTCAATTTTATTATATATATACATTGGAATCACCAAATATTTTCCATTTCATCAAGTTACAAATTCAAAAACTAAAATCGCAAAAATATAACGATTTCTAAATGAATTTTGAATAATTTTGGATCGTGATTGTACTTTTCCAATGTAATAAATTCACATGCTAGATTAAATTTTGAAATTTTTTTATATATATATATATATATATATATATATATATATATATATATATATATAAATGTCATTGATTAAAATAGTTACAAGGTGCTTTTATACAATTTCTCATTTGTTTCAATTTATGTTTTTTTTTTGTTTTTAGCTGATAAATTATATAAAAAACTGTCCGAATGTACAATTTTATCCTGAGCGATTTCGGCTATACATTTAGCCATTTTTTTATCGATTGAACTATTTTAACTTTTAAATAAGAAATAGTTTGTTGCATGTATGAATTCAATAATATTTTAATTTTTCCTGTCTTCTCATCAATATTTTGTCAATCATCAGAAAAGAAAAAATATTAGATCACATGGGATATTTTTTAAAAACTAAAAGCATTTATTTGTTAAAATGAAATTGCATGCAAAAAAAAAAATTTTAATATATATATATAATATATTATATATATATATATATATATATATAGTTGATTGATGAGTTTGTGATCCTGTGTTTCAATTTTTCCCGATCGGCAGACAAATTCTATCTTTTTGTTTGTCATATGATTACATATATCCATACATACATACATATATATATAAAACAGACTATCACCCCATATTGTTGATCTCAGTGTACAATTATACACAGGCATAGTGGCTGTCGACTCACAAGGCGAGTTTGACCCTCACTGACATGTCCAGCTCTCATTTAAACTCCCCCCCACCACAACACTGCATTCATCAGTTGTGCGAACGAAAGAAGCTCATAAAGGCAAGTAATGCCGGTCCGAGGCAATTTGCACAGCATTCACCACAAAACCACATTTTCCAGAAACAATCGGTTGCAAGATATCTCGTGTGGCAGGTTTTCTATCAGAGTTTTCTTCTCATAGAGGATGCCAGCAGGCTTCTATAGGTCCCATATTTAATGGAATATTAAAGCGTCTGTATATCAGCCGAAATATTTCTATGAAAAAGTTGAAAGATAGCAAAAAACCGTTGACCTCTTTTAGAAGACATTCATTCGCCTTTTGACAGGTCTTGATTTTTTGTCCTTAATTTCTAAAAATCCTCCTCACCAGGTGGACCTGGTTAAATTTACCTTTATAGTCGCCGATTGCCCGATCAGACAAGTAATAGTGGTTACAATGATAAGAAAAGCATCCGATCAGAACGACCTACAAACAAATTATATATGTATAAATAAAAAAAAAACGATAGGAAAATTTATTTTAACCAACGCGTTTCGTCCAATGTGGACATTTTCAAGGCAAAAAAAAAAAAAACAAAATGAATTTATTGAAACAAAATATCTATAAACAACAAACAAAATGTCGCCAACAATGTAGAGGGAAAATTTAAAACGCTGTTAATATATTCATATAGTCAACTGAAAAATTACGTCAATTACTTTTTAAGATAATATTTTTTTTATGTAAAATATTGTTTTTATTGTTGTGTTGACGGATTCAACTGTTTTCTTTTTGATGTCTTGATATATTTTTGTTTTGAACGTTAAACAATAGAAAAACAGTGGTTCTGTTAGGAAATTTGATATTTCCAAAAAAACCTTTTTTTTTAAATTCATTTCGTTTTTTTTTCTTAAAAGTCCACATTGGACAAAACGCGTCGGCTAAAATACTATTTGTCTTTTTTCCTTTATATATATTGTTTTTTTTTTCTTCAGGTTAATTCTTAGCCTGATTTCGTAATGGTAATTTATCTCGTTAGAGAATTAAAAACTGAATAGTGAGTTCAAATCCTTACTTATTTCTCCATTCGTCCTTGTTTAATCTATCTCTCTCTCTCTTTCTCTCTTCTCTCTCTCTCTATATATATATATATATATATATATATATATATATATATATACATTATATAATTCTCATTGGCATTTGGTTTGGGTTTTTTAATTTCCTTTATCAAAATTGCAAAGCAGAGAAAAATCAAGAGCGCTTATGGTTGAGATAGATAGATAGATAGATAGATAGATAGATAGATAACCGTAAATCTAGTACTAGTGAAACAAAGTATCTATAAATAACAGAATATCGTTAGCAACGATAAGAATTTAGAAACGCTATTGTATATTCATATGGTCAACTGAAAAATTACGCCAATTACTTTGCTTGAAGATAATATTTTCACGTGTAGAAATATTGTTTGTATTGTTGTGTTGAGGGATTCAACCATTTTCCTTTGATTTCTTGATGCATTTGTTGTGTATTTTAGCTTGGGAGTGTGGTGACATCCGGAAGAGGCATGGCGCGTAGAACTAGAATAATGTAAGAGTATGCTCCATGAGCTTCATGATAACTTATGTGGGGGAGTCTTGTTTTCATCTTTACTAAAATATATTCCTGATGAGCGGTTAGCCCTTCATTTTAAAAAATATTTGAATAGAGTGATTTTAAAATAGTCTCTAGAATAAAATTTTCTGGCACTGTTTGTATGTGATTAGTTTTGTTTATTAAGAACTCCGACATCACGCATTAATATATATATATATATATATATATATATATATATATATATATATATATATATATAAATTAACTGATTTAAAATATATGTTTTTCGCTACACATGAATTACCATGTTTTAAAAAACCGAAGCAATAAAAACTTCAAATTTAATTATATAATTAAATTAAAAGAAATTAGTTCTGTTTCATCTTCAAACGAATATTGGAATAACTTATTTTTAAATTTACTGAGTTTTAAAAGTTGGTCAATTCATAAGGACATTTTTGTTTCCAAGGATACAGAGAAAAATCAATCATTTAGACAGGGGTGGTAAAATTTCATTTTTTATTTAAACAAACAAGAAGATGAAACTGAATTAATCCTTTTAATTTAATTATATTTATAATATTTATGCTCTGTAAATTTACATTGAGCACTGTTATGTAAAAATAAATAAATATCAATAAGAACACCGGAATATATATCTTACTGTTCTTTCTTTTTATTATATAAAGTTGTTTTGCAAATGTAATCAATTCATGATAGATCGTTAAGACTTAACATAATGCATTGTATTTGTTTTTTTCTTTTATATAGTGGCATGAATAATTCTAGATTCTAATCTATTTAAATTTAAACGTAACATTTCTGTTTTTTTTAACGGTTTGGTCGTAATTTTCAAAACTGGACGAAAGCTTTTAGAATTGTAATGTTTATTTTGTTTATCTTTCTTTGACTATTAGCTCATTATCGCCTGTTTTCTTTATCTATTATTGTTTATATTGAAAGGTTCTTTTAATAACATTTGGAGTGATTTTAATTCTTTCACATTTTCTTATTAATTGTAAAGTAATGTATTTCAAATTTGTTTTTAATTATATAACGTTATTTTGTTTCGTTTACTTGGAGTCAATTTGCTTTTATTTTTTATCTTTCAATTATTTAAAAAAATAACAATTATAATAATAATAATAATATTATTCTAATAAATGTGATCATCATTTTATATTTTTATTTTTATATATATATATATATATATATATATATATATATATATAAAAAAAAATATGTTGTAGTGGTTCCAACGAGAGAAAAGTATGTATATTAAAAAGAAGAGAGGTGCCGCAAACGTTTTTTTGGTTGTAATGTGGATTTATTTAGAAAAAAATATTATGCTTTGTTTTACATAATTTTACGACACGTGTTTCTGGTCTCATGACCGTCTTCAGGTAAAAAGTGGAGATTTCTACATATTATTAAAAATAATTAATTTTTCTTCATGTTCAATGTTAAATATTCTCGATATGAGACATTCTCTGTTTGTGTGTTGGTAATCCGAATTTTCTTTTTAGAATATATATATATATATATATATATATATTATATATATATATATATATATTTTTTATTTGAATCACGACTGAATTTTATCAATAGTTCCGAAAAGTGTGGAGGGTTCTGCACAAGCCCTCACCACTTTAATCAAATCACTTGTTTGGGTTTTCTAGCGCTTTATCCTGATTCGTTCGTTCTTATTCATACATTTCACATTTCTACATAGTGACAGACCGATGGGTGATGGCCGTACTTTTGATGTCCATGTCCTCCATCGGTGACAAAGACCTATTTGGGATTGCACTGCTTTCCCTGTTATGGGGATGAGGCGATAAAAGGAGCCCTAAACATTGTTTGCTCACACAGAGACTTGGCATCACGCTGCAGCAGTCTGGTTATTCAATAACGCAGTCGAAACAGCAAGAAAGATAAAAAAATAAGTTTTCATTTTGGATCCTGCAATGTTCGCACTCTCCAGGACAATGATTCTGCACCAGAGCGTAAAACAGATCTTGTTTCTCTCTCTAAACTATAACATCAACGTAGCGGCCATCAGTAAAATATGATTGGATAGCAATTCTCGGCTTAGGGAAGAAAAAGGTGGATACGTGTTTTTATGGTCTGGCAAGACTGAGAAAGAGGCATCAAGTCAGACCTTGCTAGCCCACTGCCTTCCTTACCTAAAGGTGTATCAAATCGTATAATGACATTAACCCTCGATTTGGAGTGCAACACCCGTGTGACGCTGATTAGATGCTACGGTCGTGCCTTAGGTAGTTCAGAGCAAGATAAAGATGACTTTTACGATCCTTTTTGTGATGTCATCTCGAAAGTCCAACATAAGTATAAATTAATTCTTTACAGGTGACTTTAATTCTCCTGTTGGCAATGATTATCAGTCTTGGAAGGGCCTTTTAGGTCGCCATGGTATTGGTCGTGTGAATTCGAATGGATTCTCATTATCTGCAAGAAAATTTGACCTTATTAACACTAATACCTTCTACCAGCAACCCAGATGTCGTAAGACAACGTGGATGCCTCCTCGTTCGAAAGACTGGCATCTGATCGACTAAGTCATCACCAAAAGAAAGGGACATCCAAAATTTTAAGATAACGCATTCATTCCACACAAATTGCTGTCAGATCACACTCTACTTCGGAGTAAGTCTCCATTGCATCTGCAAAAGCGAAGGATAATAAAATCTACAAAAATGCCCAATTCATACATTAACGTACTGCCTCTTAAATCGACTGAAACGAAAATTGAGATGTCTTGCAAACTTGATGCTGCACTTGATTCTGTAAATTTTGAATGATATTGAACCATCTTTGAATTTTCTGCAGGATGCAACACATTCTGCATCCTTGGAAGAAAAGTTCAGCCTACCACATCGTAAACAAATCAAGACTGGTTCTATGAAAAAATATGCAAGGTTCAGCAGCTTATAGATCAAATGCTCTCTTCTCATATAGCATGGATTGAGGACAAGAACTCGTCCACTAAAAAATGTCGCTTTTCAAAAATGCAATGTCAGGTTCAACGAAAATCTCAGGGCCATGAAAAAATATATTGGTGGTCTGAAAAGGCATATGAACACCAAGAAACTTCAGATAGAAAGAATGTAAAAGGTTTTATATATTGGCCTCAATATTTTGAAACTTTTTTTGCCTCAGAAATATGATGTTTTCCAATCTCCACGGCAGATGGTGAAATAAATCTTGACGGATAAATTATTCTCATCTTCCTTTAATCAAATTACCCTATTCCTCCTGAAGTGTATTAACAATACAAAATGGCCAAAAGGTGGAAAATGTTCCATGCTATTTTCGTGGAAGATATTAAAACAGGCTGTCCCAAGGAGGATTATAAAGATACCTCCATCAAACGCCTCTACAAAAAAAAAACAGGTCAGGTGTGTTACATAATCATCATGGAATATCACTTTTTTTTTAAAAAATTCACAAAATGAATACCGAGACTGATTCTAAAACAGAATCATTATACACCTTTTGTTGATGACATCTTTCCTGAATCGCAGTGTGGTTTTCAATTGGCTCGTGGCACCATTGATATGATATTTTCTCTTCGTCAAGTTGCAGATGAATCATTCATAAAAAAAAACCAGGAGTTGTACATCAAATTTGTGGACTTGAGGAAGGTCTTTGACACTATAATCGAGAGATTCTTTGGCAAAAACTTGAGGAAAAATTCGGTATACCATGAAAAACATGATTGATGATGCTGTTCTTTTCTTGCGTCATCCTTTGAGGAGGCCCAACATCTAATAAATCGTTTCTCTGCTGCATGTAAAGCCTTTGGTCTTTACACTTAGCATAAAAATAAAATGAAGTTGTATATAACCA